AGTTGAAAGTAGGTAACAAAAAATGCGAACACCCGGACACATACAAACGGCTTCTTGCCAATATGCGTTTTTGCAATTTGCATATATGCAAGAATGCATGTTGGGAAGAGGCTGTGTGTATCTGTGTGATCGAGGTTCATGCAAAAAGTGTAATGTAATCATGTAAATGTAATGTAACCAAGAAATGTAATCATGTACCTGCAAGCCCATGCAGCTCTGCAACGCAACACTCTCATCCCAACCGATGTCCATTCTGCTCCATGCCGGAAGAAACCAAAGCATGGCCAACATGAGCCCATGTGTTTGGCTTCAACGCAGGGATTGTTCCTGATACTAGTGACCCGCGAGTTTAGTACAAAAACGCATGACTGCACCGGCAGGCCTGGTGCATTCCAGCATAATCAAACGAAAAAAGGCACAAAAATGAGTCGAGTAAGAAATAAGTAGTACTGCTGGCGGATTGAAATTTATCAAGTAATATAATTTTATTTATCAAAGCTAATTTTCTAGGAAATCACAGCACACTTAGCAAATTTTTCAAAATTTCTAAGCATTTGTATCGCAAAAGAAAAAATCAATATATAAAGTCAAGCGAGGTAGTAATGCATAAGGATTGCGCTGTTTTGCGCTAAATTTGAAGCAGTCAGGCCATTAACAGTATGAATGACTGTTGCTTTGCAGTATATAAAATGTGCGCTCACTGTGTTTTGGTCATTCCTTTCTTGCACAGGGAAACGGGAGTCGACTGGGATGGCAGTGTTGCATCATGGGGCTTATAGAATATTAACCTCCTCCCACAAAATTTGCGTAAACAGAAATTAATGGTTTCCTGTGACCGATTGTTTACTGAAAATGCAAAATTGGTCAATGAACAGAATGTTGAAAAAGAATGAAGACATCTGAGCAAAATGCATTTTTTTTTGAGTTCAAGATAGAATTAAGCATTTGATATGTCCATATGTGCAATTTAAGGTCTAAGCTTAGTTCTGAACACGTGAATACAGAATATCCTGGTAAAACTCCAGCTTCTTAGCTGGACTGGTTGGCGATATCGTTTTTGGTTGCAAATATCTTTGATACGCAACAAAGGCGAACATCAAATCTCATTTTACGTCGACACGCCAATGTATGGGAAACAAATATTCTCATAAATAGGGCGGGTAAGCGGAGAAATGGAGCAGTTTAATTAGCTTGTTCTCGAGTCGGCAATTTTTCATCGGTGTCTCAATATCAACTTTGACATGCCCGTGGGTATGCATTAATGCTAGGCGTGCATTAAAGCTTAATCTGAAGCCTTTAGCTTACAAAGGACGTAGAACATCCCTGTGAAATTTCAGCTTCCTATCCCATTTGGCCCTAAAATCCCTTTTTAACCAAAAAATCTGAATGGATTCTTCTGGGCGTCCTGTACATGAGATCAGGCGTAAGTGAACTTTTATTTTAGGCTGTTTGGATGCCACGTGAGCCAGAAATATTCTTGTGAAATACCAACTTCCTAACTTTTGCGGTTGCTAAGTTGAATGTGGGTGACAAAAATCCGAATATGCACATACATCCGACAACATTTTGTCAGTAATGCGCCTTTGTATTTGCATAAACAAGATTCCCTTGCATAAATATGCAAAAAACATAATCAGTCGGGGTGAATCAATAAATTTTTTGTTTGTTTTATCACTCCGTAACAAAATAACTCTTACAGGTTGAATTGGAAATCAATGATTTCGACAGCATCCCACTGAGAATCGCAGAGCAGGTGCAGGATCAAATACTGGAACAGAAGAAGAAAGTTATTGCCGAACCAATCAAGCTGCTGCGAGATTCTATAAAGCTCGGTATGATGTTAGCTGGCAAAAACGTTTCTGGATTCGATAACAAAACGGTTCGCCTTGCTTCGCCAAAATTTTTTGGCATCGTTCCCGAAGAGTACAGCAATGATGAGGTTATCTTTTACATTTTTATGTGTTCCTGCATGCGCAGATAAAAAGCACTAAGGATGAGCATATAACTCTAAACAGTTGATAAAACCCCGAAAGTAGAACAGCTGTAAACCTAGAATTTTAGCGACTTCCCCTCGAGGATGAAAAGGCCGCGCATCCAGTATCATCTTCTAATCTTTCCAGTACAATAACTGCAGTTGGGACACTGGTATATGCCTCCACCACTTGCTTATAAATTACCTTCGAAAAATCTACCAACTTCTCAATTGTGCCCCTCACGGAAAGTTAATTACGAAAGGGTTTTGGGTTTTTATGTGTTTGCACTTTTATACACACAGGATTGTTCTGTGTCCCTGAGTAAGCTAAAGACTTCAAATTCAGTTGCTAAACATGCTTACATCATAAACACTAATACATCAAAGCTGAAATCGAAACAGCGTTGCAAAATACCAACTCGGGAGCCAAGCTATATAGAGCCCCCTCATTTTACAACAACATTTGTTTTCCATACGCAAATGCAAGCATGCCTATGTCTGCTTTCGAGCACATAAAGACGTTTGTAGTGAAAAGCAACTCCACTAGCTAGCCAGTTCAGTGAGCTGAAATTCTGCGAGGATATTCTATGCCTACGTAGGATTTAAATATTTTCAAATACAACATTAAAACACGTCTAGCTCTCTCCCGTGCGTGCAGATGAATGTCTAATTTGGAAGACTGCTGGTACCTAATTAATCCAGCAACCATGCAGAGCAGGAAGCTGTATTATTCTGGTGTTTGGTGCTCGTGTGGGAGCCAGTAAACCTAAAATGGGCATTGCTCACGCACGTGCTCTGCCTATAGACATAAAAAATGTTTAAATTACAGCTCTGCTGTCATTTTAATGCTGGCGAGAAAGTCAAAATTTTGCGACACGACTGACCTATTCTGTGAGGCACGAACTCAAAAGTTTAACGGATTTGTCAGATTGAGCAAAAGTTCTTCCTAACACCGTCGCATTTGCCGAAGAAAAATGCGCTTTGTTACGTTTGTGTGAGATTGCTATGGAATAATAGCTTTCAGACTCGCCTACTCTCCCCGTCACTTTTCAATTTACATGAAGAGGGTGATGAAGTGGAGAAACTGTTCAGCATTCCAAGCTTTATTCGAGCAATCAAGTCCATTGGGAGTGGCGATCACGAGGATTTCCTGGATTTCATTTTCGAGGCTGCTGGCGTCACCGATGCTCTCGACTTTGCCAAGGTTGAAAATTTCATTTTTAGTACGGCATGACTGAATGAGGTTGAGATCAGCATGCTTGCGTATTTTAGAAAAATGCTGAATTTTAAACGAATATATTCAGGAGAAACTGAGGCAGAAAGATGAGACTGTGAATACGGCGCGAGGTATCGATGGGCAGCCGCTGTATTTCACCAAATCCAACGTGACCGAGTTGTACGGTGACGTGGAAAAACGCAAAATCGACACATTCGAAACACTTTATGCCTCCTTGACGCCAGAGCAAGTAAGATGCTAGAAAGAATTGATGTGGCGATGCTGCTACTTTTAGGCTCAAGACAAAACAATTTTGCTAGTTTTCTGTTCCTACGCGAAGCATATTGAGATCGCTTGAACTATAACTGTAGACATTCCATGTCAGTGATATTGAAAAGAAGCAAATGCGGAATGCACCTATTTTAGTTGTTCGATCCTCGGCTTCACATTTCCAGTTAATACTTATTACCCGTTTGATGTGTGCGCCACCACTTTGGGAATCGTCCGAGTGGTCGCTTAATTTCTTGTCGATACCACTCACTAATACGTGATGCCGGCTAGTTTTTGTCAGTCATAATACAATAAATAGACTGTAATTCAGTAAGGAACAGTCAACTAAATAAAGATTGCAAGTGCATAACACAGACGCAGTATAGGATAAAACATGAATGTACAAGATTCAGTGGACCGAAACATTCCTTTTAGCCGTTTGCATTTTTTATGCGTTTTTGCCGTGCAGCGCTAGAGCGCTGCAACAGGCAGCAAAAACGCATATT